AAGCAAATAAAAAGGTCTTCAGGTCCTTAGAACAAAATTAATTATAAACTCTATGTTGGGTTGTGCTCTATTTGGTAGTACTGTGATCCATAGAAAGGAAAAATGATGTAGTGGTCTTTAAAAAAATTAATTCAAAAAGTCCACGTTACTGGTCTTAAGATTCGTGAAGAAATATTTTCAAAATCTACGTCTGGTGGTCTGTCGGTCCTTGGAAAATAAATTTACAAAAATCCAAGTGTGGAGGTCAAGAGGTCCTTGGGCATTCAGATAGTTTACGTTTATGGTTCAGAAGTCCTTGGAATAAATAATTATAAGAAAAAACCAACCCGTGGTTGTCCGAAGGTCCTTGAAATTTAGAGGTCCTTGCAAAAATTTATTAAAACCATCTACGAGAAGGTCCTTAAAAAACATTTTTAAAATTTTGAAGCACATGTTAATCATGTATTTAAAAGTTTCACGTTTTAGTTGAGCAGGTCCTTATATTAAAGAATTACAAGTTTGGTGGCCAAAAGGTCCTCAAATACAATTATTAACAAAACTTGCGTTGAAACTTGAAAATATTTATTTCAAAAACCTATGTGAGATCTAATGATCCCTCTAGATATACAGGGTGGATGAAAAAAACTGCCACCAACTTCAGACTGTTGTCATTACTAAGCCACTCGTCCGACAGCTGTTAAAATTATTCCCGTGACAGCTCATTATATTGTTTACAATCCTCGTACAAAAGCATTTTGGTGAGAATTTTCCAAAAAAAAGTTATTCGTGATGGAATTCAAGAGTTATAGTGTGATTTCTTTATATTTGGCTGGAAAAACACAAGTGGCTATCGTTAGAGCACTCCAGCATTTAAATGTGAATAAATCGTTTGTGTCTCGTACTCGTGATACTGGTAGCGTAGCCCGACGTCAAGGAAGTGGACGGAAGAAAACAGCAACGTCAGCCGAAAATGATTCGAAATGTAAAGAAGCGACTTGATCGAAACCCTCATCGCAGTGACCGTGATACTGGTAGCGTAGCCCGACGTCAAGGAAGTGGACGGAAGAAAACAGCAACGTCAGCCGAAAATGGTTCGAAATGTAAAGAAGCGACTTGATCGAAACCCTCATCGCAGTGACCGGAAAATAGCTCGTGAGCCGAACATATCGCAATATTCCTTTCGGCAATTATTGAAAAATGAATGGAGCTCGGGGTAAAGCCATTGAAATTCCAAAAAGTGCAAGAACTTACACCGCAACAGAAAGAAAATAGACTCAAAAGACCTATAGAGTTGCTTTGCTTGGCCGAAAGTTGCGAACTGCCGAATCTGGTTTTCTCCGATGAGAAAACATTCGTTGTCCAGCAGTTTGTAAACAAAAACACAGAAAATTATCGTGTTTACTTGCCAAAGAGGTCCGCTAAAAATGTGCACCTTCGATTGACCACCAGAACTCAAGCGCCGCCATAACAGCCGATGGTTGCACTCCGCTCATATAAATCGACCGTGGCATCAGAATAAATTTCGAATATTATCATGAAAATATTCTACAGGGTGTATTAAAGCTCGTATTAATCCCCAGTGGCATCGGAATAAATGCCGAGTATTATCCCGAAAATATTCTGGATGTTGTATTTAAGCCCTGGCCATGCAAACATTTTGGCCGCAGACCTTGGACATTCCCACAGGACTCACCACCATCGTACTTAGCACGCGCCACAAAAATGGTTACAAAATGAGGTTTCTCGCTTCATTTCCAGCGCACAATGGCCACCAAAAATTTCCGGATACCAATCCGTTGGACTATTGTGTATGGAGTATTTTGAAGAGCAAGGTTGAAATTAAAAACTACCAAAGTCTCGATCACCTTAAGCAAGCGCTTCGCCGGGAATGGGCCCATATACCGCAGAGCAATATTCGGGCAGCGCATGACGGTTTCATTGGCCGTTTGAAGCCCATATTTTGCGCCAAAGGTGACTAATTCGAAAAAGTCTAACCTTGGACATTCCAACAGGACTCAGCACCATAGCACTCAGCACGCGCCATCCAAAAATGGTTACAAATTGAGGTTTCTCGTTTCATTTCCAGCGCACAATGGCCACCAAAATCTCCGGCTACCAATCCGTTGGACTATTGTGTCTGGAGTATTTTTGGAAAGCATGGTTGGCACTAAAAAATACTAAAGTGTCGATCACCTTAAAGAAGCGCTTCGCCGGGAATGGGCAAGATACCGCAGAGCAACATTCGGGCAGCGTGTGACGGTTTCATTGGCTGTTTGTAGCCCATAATTTGCGCCAAAGGTGACTAATTCGAAAAAGTCTAAACTTATTCCAAAATTTTATGCTATTTCCGACGTTTTTTTGCTTTCATTCACTAAAATTAAAAAAAAACAAGTAAGCAAAGGCTACAGTCGAGCGGGGCCGACCGTTGAATACCCTACAACACTATAATAAACGATACAGTTTATATAGGCGAGATACTCGAAAGAATTCCACAAGATATTGTGACAAATAATAAAAGAAAACCATCAGGTTTCGTTCTCTAATTTTCGAATAATAGCAACTTAAACTAATTTGCTCATTTCCAATTTATTGGTAGATGTTGCACTTAAATGGTCTTCCTAGATCTGGAACCAATATTTCTCAAAGACCTATAATCTCTCAGAAGTGGCAAAAGATTAACATTTATTATTGGTTTCTGACTGAAACGCATCTATATGAGATACAGACATTTTACTATATTCTTCAATGAAATCAGCGTTAACGAAATAGTCAGAAGTGCGTCTTTCCTGTGTTTGTGAATTCTCCAAAAAGTTACTGGAATGGACATTTTCGTATTTTGTCTACAAAAATTGGCAAACTCCTTCACACATTGAATATTTTTGGATGGTCATCCAAAACTGCTTGGCTTTTGCAATGTCCGGTAACCCCCATTCAAATGTGCGTGAGGATCGGGCGATAATTACGACCTGCCGACAATTTTGCAGTTTTTTGGTCCATTTCAACCCCTAAATATATGGCGATCATCTCCAAAAAGAGTAGACTTCTATTCTGACCCTCATCTTATCCCCATGCAAAATTTCGTAAGAATCGGGCCATAAATGCGATCTGTATATGATATCCTGATATCCTAACTACTTAGTTTTGTTAGCTGTAGAAATATTACCAAATGTTAAATTCAAAGTGAAAATATGCCAAAAATATGACAAAATGGAAAAAATATGAGAAAATGTTACAAAATCAATATTTTCATCTTTAGAGAGATATTTGTATGCGTTTTTTAGACGTTTTTTCTTTCCTGCCAAGAGGCCATTCTGAATTAATGAGAAATGTCAGTTCAGCCGTTCTCGACATATATGAGATCTTTCAAGCATATCTTCTTTGATAGATATATATATCGCATATATTTGCTATATATTCGATTTTTTGGATCTTAACATCAATGTAAAGATCAGAAGTAACCTTGTCATGGCTTTGTGATTTCACCGGGATTTAAAATATTCGCGGTTTAATGAAAAATTTTGAATTTTTTCAACAAAAAAGATATGGTTTATTTTACCCGCTAAATATTATCCGATCACAACCCAAATTGGTAGGCTTCTTCCCCGCCCTAAACTCTAGCTACATGCGAAATTCCGCGTTGATTGGTCTATAATTGCGACCTGTATAGCTACTGCAAAATCCGACATATTTTCGGTATTTGGTCCATTTCAACCCCTAAACATTTGGCGATCATCTCCAAAAGCAATAGGGTTCTATTCTGACCCTAGCCCCACCTCCATTCTAAATTTCGTGAAGATCGGGCCATAATTGCGACCTGCAGAGTGATTACAAATTAACATGGACAGACGGACAGACGGACGGACATACATAGCTAGATCGGCTCAGCTCGGCGAGATAGGAAGATCCATATATACTTTCCTATGTGGGAAATCAATATTTCGTGGTGTTACATAAGTTTTGGCCCAATCAAACTTATAATACCCCCAACACATAGTGTTGTAGGGTATAATTAAAAATGATGGTGTTTGACTTTGTTGGAATTTTTTATCTCACCCTGTACTATCACATACAATTCAAAAGGCCCTTGAAAAGTTTTCTTAAAAAAATCTAAAGTTTCTATAAAAATTTTTTCCCTAACAAATCATAGAGAGCCTTGAAAAAAGGATACTAAAAATGAATTTATTGTGGTCTAAGTTTTTGTATATTCTTATGAAATTATAAATTAAATTTTGGTCTGAAGGTCCTTTAAACATATTTAAAAAAAAATCCAACTTGAGTGGTCTTAATGTCCTTGAAGGAAAAATTTATTTAAATTTTTTTTGCCTGAACATCCTTAAAAAAATTTTTAAAAATCCTTGAATAACATATTTTTTAAAAAATCTAGATTTGGTTTAAAAATGACTGGGAATACTTTAAAAAATATTCTAAAATAAATACTTAAGGCCATTGAATAAATTAAATATTCAAGCTTTGAAAAACGATTTATAAACTACTCAAGCGTGGTGAACTGAAAGTCCTTGTAATTTTTTTTTTTATTCAACGTTTACTCTTCTTCAGATCATTTTTTTTGCTTCCGGAACTCTGAATGTTTGAATGAAATATTTGTTAAATCCGCGGTTTTTGGTCTAAAAGTGTTATTTTTAATCCTTGCCTGGCGCTCCTTGCTTTTCAAATCCCTGTTTGATCCAAGTTTGGTGACCTATTTCTTAGAAAAAAATCCTTCAAAATATTTTAATTTTTTTATAAATTTTATTTAATAAATATTTTTTTTGTACAACAACAAAATAAGAAAAATATTTAAAAATTCGGTTAATTCGTTTTGGCACGGTTTTGTTTTCATTAAAAATTAAATTGGAAATTCGTTATAAATTAAAAAAGAGTGGGGGGGAGAAGGAAGAGGAGTAGAAAAAATAATTACTAATTTTTAAATGCACCGCCATGATAGGTGAAAATCTCCTCAAGGACTTAAAACTAAAAATAATTTTTATTTTTTAAAAATTATATTTTTTCAGAATCTCAGTTTACTCCTCTTTTCCCTTCGTCAGATCTGCTGCCGCCTTCAGAGGCACCCCCTTGTCATCGATTTCTACGGATGGTACCAGGGGCGGCTTGAAACCATATTCCATGTGCAGATTCATACCAAAATCTGGGCTACGCTTTAGGCTGTGGCCATTGCGCCAACGCTGGAACTCATCATAGTTCCCCTTAAAGCCCGGCACAGTGGGACGTTTGCTGTGCTCGGCCACAGCAATGGACGATGAGGCGGAGAGATCCAGCGGCAGGGTGTTGTAGTCATATTGATACCGAGCCCCCACATCCCAGCTGGGACCCAATGGCGGTGGTGGTGGGGGCTTCAAATCGAAACGTATGTCACTTATTTTGGCTGGATGTTTGGTGGTTGGCTTGGAGGCCTGATATTTGGGTTTCGAGGCCAAGGGTGAGGTTTTATAGGCCTGGGTCATTTGCGGTACCAGTTTCTTGAGCATTTTGGCATAGTAGGCCTGCAGGATTTTGGTGGGTATGCGGGCCAGTGTGGACGAGGATTGAGGCCATGCGCCCGAGGCACTTCCGCCATATGGCGCCGAGGGTGGATAGTGGCCATGCCCATAGAGGGGAGAGTAAATGGGATTGGGATTTGGAATGTGTAGGGCCACAGGTATTTTTATGGGTATGGCCACGGGGAGATCCACATATTTTTCGACAATTTTCTCCACGGGTTTTTCAACAATTTTCTCCACCTCCACGGGGACGTGTTTTTCGACAACCTTTTCGACGACTTTTTCAACGGGATATGGTACGGGCTTTTCAACTATGGTTTCTATGGGCACTGGGCGATCTATGAAGTGTTGGAAGTGCACAGGCACCGGAATGGGTTCGGGTACGGCATAGGGTATGTGGACATGTTTCTCGATGACCTCCTGCAGCACCAGGGGACCCTGATAGGGTTGATGGTGTTCCGGTCGTAGGGCATAGGGAATTTGGATTTGTGGTGCAGAAGGGTGTGGAGGGGGAGGAGGAGCTTGGTGGCCCTCCTCTACATGACCACCTGCTTGGGGGTTATGGTGATGATGCTGGTGATGTTCTGCTTCATGATGCTGCTGAACCTCAACCTGTTCATGTTCCTGATAAGAATGATTTACTTCCTCTTGGTGTACCTCTTCCTGGGTTTGGCTCTGGACATACTGCCCTCCCTTGGCCGAGGGCGTCTCCACAATGTGACTTTCCTGTACGAGATTTGATTGTTGTATGGGACCAATATCTATGAGGGACTGCGCCGGATCCAGGGCATGCTGCTCCTCAATCAAGGAGGCTGCCTGCTCATACTCCTCATGGGCAACATGAATGGGATTTTGTGACAGAGACACATAATCCTGGGCCGGAGGGGTTGGATGTTGGGGCTGATGATGTTCGGGGGCTAACCTCTCCCCATATTTCTGTTCCGGATAAATGGTCTCATGCTGCTCGATTAGCCGACCATCTTTTTCGGTGATGAGTTTGTTGTGGATGTTAATGGATTTTTGGACCTCCACAAAGGTATAGCCTCCGCCGCCACTGGGCTTGGGATTGTCCTCAGATTCCTGGGGTTGATGGTCATGTTCGACAACAGGTTCCGGCTCAGGGTGGGGTTGAGGCTGTGGCTGTGAGGGAGCCTGGGAGTGAAGGGCCTCATAGACAAATTCCTGGGGACTCTTGTGGGGATTGTAGGGTCCCAAATATTGTTCCTGGGGTTGCTGTACCTGATGCTGTTCCATCTGTTCCTCCTCCCGCTTTTGCGGACCCTGCATGGTTACAAACACAAAATTGTAGGGGGTGACAGATTGGGGTTCCGGATTCTCTGCATGTCCGACTGTTTCATAGGCCTCCTTGTCACTCACCTGGCCGCTGTTCGTAATTGAGGTGTGTAACTCCGAAGACTCATGATGCTCCTCATATTGGGGCTGATACTCCGGCCGCACTCGCTCATATTTGACAAACTGCAACTGGGCTGCGGGAGGCACCGTCTGGATATGACTCTCCGGCATTTGTTCATAATGGAAGTTACCCTTCGGCACTGGCGGGGGGTTGGGGTTCTGGGAGAGAACTGGTTTGAAATTTTTCAGGAACTTCCTGGAAGGAGCCTCCTCCAGGGAATTTTGTATCTGCTTTGCCTGCTCCACAAATGCCTGATAGGATTGATATCTCGGCTGGGTGGCCTGTTCCTGTTGCTTTTCCCGTTCCAGTAATTTTTCCGTTTCCTCCTGGGCCTTCCTCAGCTTATCGTCATGGATAATGTGGACATTGACCGAGTGAGTAGGTCCCTCGGAATATGTGACACTTTGGGCCGGATCCTGATAGACTGCCTGGGCAAAGTTTTGAGTCTCTGCTATTTGATTATCATCCTGCGGAGCATCCACAAAATCATCCGAGGAATTGTCATTCAGAATGACAATTGGGGCCTTGGAGCCGGAAGTTGAGTTGCCATTGGTGGCATTGTCATCATCTGGATTTACGAGGAGACTTGGCAGCACCGAGGCCTCCTTGGCAGCACGATTTATACGCAGCAGCTCCTCTTTACTAATGGAATTGCTGCCATCCCGAAAATCTTCAGAGGAGGACTTGCTGGCAGAAGGGTCGCCCAGGAATTTCTCCACCACAATTTCCACATGACCCGGACTCGTTTCCCTTCTTGTCTCCCGGGTCATGGTCACAAAGGTAGAGATTATCGTGGAATTTTCCGGCGCAGTCTTTTGGGATTCCGATATTTCCTCCAGTTTTGGCTCAAACGGAATGAGGGTTTTGGATATTTTAGGCCATTCGCCAGGAGTTTCCTCTTCCTTTCTGGATTTTGTGGCAGGTTTTTTGGTAGTCGTTGAGGTTTGAAAGGATTTGGGAGGTCTTCTTCGAGAAGATTTTCCCCGAGGTTTTCTGGTGGTGGTAGATAGTGTTTTTGAAGGAGCAGTTGTAGTTGTGGTAGTAAAGGAAGGCTTTTTCGTTGTTGTTGTAGAGGGAGCTTTTGTTGTTGTTGTTGTAGAGCGTGTTCTTGCTGTTGTTGTTGTAGAAGGAACTTTCCTTGTTGTGGTACTCCTTCTGGTTGTCGTTGATGTGGTTGTAGTGGGAGTTGTTGTCTCAACTTCCTCCTGAACCTGTTGCTCTCCTTCTTCCTCCTCTCCGGATTGAGTTTCAAAAGCAATAGCCAGTGGATCATTGTAGACTTTCTCTTTTTGCACAATTCTGGCATGGAATTCCCTGCCCTTCAGCGGTCTATCCGTTGGCATTGGTTTGAAGGGTATCAACATTTCAATGGAAGCCAGTTCTGCACTCTTCTCAGGCATGGGTTTGAAGGGTGTAGGGGTAGATTTCATGGCCACCGTGGGTGATGGAGTTGCTGGCAAGGATCTCTGGACTTCGGGTGGTATATAAACGGGATGGACTTGATGCTCGATGACAGGATTGGAAATAAATTCGGGTGCAGAGTTTGGAATTTCGTGAGGTACTTGATGTAAATGGGGCTGCAGGTGTTCCAGATATTCTTGGGGTATTTGATGTTCCAAATGCCCTTCGTGTTCCTGGGGTATTTGGTAAACCAGGTGTCCCTGGTGGTCCTGCTGTTGTTGCTGTTCATCAGCCGGATAACTAAACTTGAAAATATCCGAAAATCCTATGGGAAATAGATTTGTTAGGACCTCATTAATGGTGGATTGTTTTTTGGGTTCGGGCGGCCGTGACTTTTCCTCTGCCGGATCATTGTAATCCAAATCGAAGGGTATATAGGCATTTGTCGAAGTGGCAAGTGGTGCAATGAGCTCTATGTGGGCCGAAACTTCATCCAAGGGCTCGACCTGAAAATGAGAGAGAGAGAGAAAATAAGACATAAATGTAAAAGAACGTAAGCCAGAATTTGTACCAAATATGGTAGTATATGGTACTAGTACGTATTTAGAAAAAAACGCAGCCTTATATCTTGCCTAACCTCCAAGACTGATACTAGTGAAAAATTTAAAAATGAGGGACATTCGAGATCCCCTTAATAGCCTCAGAAGTCCTTCTAGGCCTTCTATAGCCACAGAAGAAATTCAAGGTCTCTATAGTCACATGAGACGACTTTTGAGGTCATCTCTAGTCACAGATGACCTTCGAATGTTTTTATAGACTCTAAAAGTCGTTGAGGTTTTCTAAAGCCTCAGAAGGTCTTTAATATCCTCTGGAGACTTGCGAGGTCTTTTAGAGAGACAGAAGAGCTTTGAGGTCTTCTATAGCCACCTTAGACCTTCTAGGTTTTCTATAGCCTCAGAAGACCTTTGAATTCTTCTTTAGCCTCAGAAGACATTAAAGTTTTTCTATAGCCTTAAGAGACCCTAGAAGTTCTCTATAGCCAAAGAAGGCATTTGAGGTCTTCTATAACCTCAGAATACCTTCCAGTTCGTATGTAGCCTCAGAAGACCTTTTAGGTTTTTTATAGCCTCAGAAGATTTTTTATATCTTTAATAGCCAAAGGAGACCTGCGAAGTCTTTTAGAGCCACAGAAGACCGTTGAGGTCTTCTTTAGCTAAGAAAGACTTTTGATGTTTTCTATAGCATTAGAGGACCTTTGAAGACTTCTCTAGCCTCAGAAGGCATTTAAGGTCTTCTATAGCCTCAGGAGACTTGCGAGGTCTTTTAGAGAGACAGAAGACCTTTGAGGTCTTCTATAGCCTCAGAAGATCTTTAAGGTCTTCATTATCCTCTGGAGACTTACGAGGTCTTTTAGAGAGACAGAAGACTTTGAGGTCTTCTATAGCCTCAGAAGACGACTTTTTAGGTCTTTGATAGTCACAGATGACCTTCAAGGTCTTCTATAGCCTTATAAGATCTTTAAGGTCTTCAATAGCCTAAGGAGACCTGCGAGGTCCTTCAGAGCCACAGAACACCGTTGAGGTCTTCTTTAGCCTCAGAGAATCTTTGAGGTCTTCAATAACCTCATGAGACCTGAGAGTACTTTTATAGCCACTGAAGACATAAGAGGTCTGCTATAGTCACAGGAAACCTTTGAGGTCTTCTATGGCCTCAGAAGACTTTCGATGTTTTCTATAGCCCCAGAAGGCCTTCGGGGTTATCCTTAGCCTTAGAAGACCTTCGAGGTTTTCTCTCCTCACAGAAGATAATCATTAGGGTCATCTATAGTCACGGAAGACCACTTTTGTTGTCTTCTATAGTAACAGGTGACATTCGAGGTCTTCTATAGCCTCGGATGGTCTTTTAGGCCTTCAATAGCCTCAGGAGACCTGCGAGTACTTTTATAGCCACATAAGTTCTTTGAGGTCTCTAATAGCTTCAAGAGACCTTCGAGGTCTTCAATAGTCACAGAAGATCTTCAATAGCCTCAGGAGATCTAAAATTTTTATTATGGCAACAGAAGACCTTTTAGATCTTCTATAGCCACAGAAGAGCTACGAGGTCTTCTATAGCCTCAGTAGACCTTCCTGGTCTTCTATAGTCACTGAAAACGACCATCGAGTCCTTCTATAGCGACAGAAGGCTGTAGAGGTCTTCATAGCCTCAGAAGACATTTGAGGTTTTGTAGGGCCACAGAAGGTATTCGAGGTCTTCTTTAGGTCACAGAAAAATTTTGAGGACTTTTATAGCCTCAGAAGACATTTGAGGTTTTCTATGGCCACATAATTCTTTCGAGGTCTTCTTTAGCCTCAGTAGTCCTTCGAGGTCTTCTATGGCCACATAAGGCCTTCTTTAGCCTCAGTAGTCCTTCGAGGTCTTCTATAGTTACAAGAGACTTTCGATGTGTTCTATAGCCACAGAATACCTTTGAAGTGAAAAGACTTGAAAAGACATTTGAGGTATTTTGTAGCTACAGAAGATCTTTCAGGTCTTCGGAAGCCACCGGAAACTTTTGAGGTGTCCAAAGGCGGTTGAAGATATTTAAGGGTATTTGTAGGTCTAAAAATAGGATGTATAGAGAATTTAATATTTTCTAATCTTTGGTCCGTGCTGCCTTGAAAATGCTAAAATTTCAATAGCCTTAGGAGATTTGCGAGGTATTCTATAGTTACATGAGACTTTTGATGACTTCTTAGTCACAGGAGACCTTCAAGGTCTTCTATGGCCGCCAAAGACTGTCGAGGTCTCACAAGACATTTGAGATCTTCTTTAGCCTCAGTAGTCCTTCAAGGTCTTCTATGGCCTCAGTAGTCCATCGAGGTCTTCTATAGCCTCAGAAGAATTTCGAGGACTTCTATAGCCTTAGAAGACATTTGAGATCTTTTATGACTATAGAAGTCTTTCGGCGTCTTCTATAGCCTCAGAAGACCTTCGAGGTCTTCTATGGCCACATAAGTCTTTCGAGGTCTTCTTAAGCCTCAGTAGTCCTTCGAGGTCTTCTATAGTTACAGGAGACTTTCGATGTCTTCTATGGAGTCTTTTTTAGCCTCAGAAGACATTTAAAATATTCTGTAGCCTCAGAAGATCGGAAGCCACCGGAAACTTTTGAGGTCTCCAAAGGCCGTTGAAGACATTTGAGGGTATTTGTAGGTATAAAAAGAGGATGCGTAGAGAATTTAAGATTTTCTAATCTTTGGTCCGTGCTGCGAGGTATTCTATAGTTACATGAGACTTTCGATGACTTCTATAGTCACAGGAGACCTTCAAGGTCTTCTATGGCCGCCAAAGACTTTCGAGTTCTCAGAAGACATTTGAGGTCTTCTTTAGCCTCAGTAGTCCTTCGAGGTCTTCTATAGCCTCAGAAGACCTTTCTGTAGTTACTGGGGACTTTCGATGTCTTCTATAGCCACAGAAAACCTTTGAAGTCATTTATAGCTTCAGAAGACATTTTAGGTATTCTGTAGACTGAGAAGATTTTTCGAGTCTTGGGAAGCCACCGGAAACTTTTGAGGTCTCCAAAGGCGACATTTGTAGGTATAACAAGAGGATGTATAGAGAATTTAAGATTTTTTTAATCTTTGGTCCCTGAAACAAATGTTGCCTTGAAAATTCTAAAATTTCTGGTCCATGAGAAGCAATATTTCGAAAAAATTCCCTATCCTGCCAGAAAGTCCTGAAAATCAGGATTCTTGGACCTTGAAAAAATATCTCTTTTATTTTTCATGATTTCCTCTATCTGATATTTATTCAGATGCTATTAATACCTTAACAATGCTATCCCTACACACAACACCTCCCAACATTCTGTACCCTTCCCCAAAATGTTTCCCTATTTTCCAAAAGTAAAACATGTGAAACCGTTGACACCTATTGCCACTTTCATGACATTCTCGATTCGAATTTAAATAACAACATGTCCCATATTTTCCAATTCAAAGTGTTCGAACCACAGCAACAACACGTTTTGACAGTCAAAACAAGCCAATCTGACAATCAGCCAACGACTGACGACTTTTATCCCTTTGTGTTGGGTTCCCCAAATTTAAATTTCCCTCAAGGGGTAGAGGGAGAGAGAGAGAGGGAGGAAAAATGTTAAGCAATGTCAGTTGCTAAAATTGAAATTCTTACCTTTTTCGAGTCCTCTTCGCTTTTGTTGTTGTTGTTGTCGGATTCGTTTGAAACATTTATTAAATGTTTTTGGGATTGTTGCGTGTCACCGCCAACATCCACAGCGGCAGCGGGGCTTGTAGCTCCCTCAGCCGCCCCAGTTTCATTTCTATCGGGTTGGCGACTTTGACGTTGTTGCTGCTGCTGTTGCTGTTGCAGCTGTTGACGACGTTGTTGCTGTTGCCTCAAAATATTCTGGAGCTGCTGTTGATGATATTTTTGCTCCTTCTTTTGCTGGTCCTGTTGATCCTTTTGATGTTTTGTCAGTTGTTGATGCTGTTGTTGTCGTTGTTTCTTGTGCTGCTGCTGACGTTGCTGATTTAATATAAAACTTGCCAAAGTGGTTGATGTCACATTCAGAGGTGGCTGTAAGGGCAGCAACGATGTTGTTGTTGTTACGTGGGCATTATTCAATAGCTTCTTGGTGTTAACTTTGCCCAGGTTTTTGTTGCTACTGTTGCTGCCACTCTTCTCATTATGTGTGTTGTCGACTGCCAAGCTGCTGGCATTGGCCGTTCTTGTTGTTTCGTTGTAATCTGCCACCGATGTTGCCAGGACTATTGTGACAGGTCGTGCCGACTTCGTTGCCGTTGATTTCGTAACAACAACCGTTCGCTTGGGTGTTGATGGTGTAACAACATATGTTGTTTCCGTTTTGGTGAGCGTTATCAGGGTGGTGAGCAGGAGCAGAATACTGACAATAACAGTTGGTATTAGAAATTTTCGTAACATTGCCACTCTGTGGAGAGAGGGAGAGAATAAGAAAAAAAGAGAGAGAGAGAGGAAGTGAGTGAGAGAAGAATAGAAAAAGAAGGAAATATTCAATGAAAAGATTTGCAAAAATTGGAAAAATGTTACATGTTCTGGTGGAAGTTCGGAAAATTCATGTTCCTGGGGTTTCGTATGCAAACTAATGTGTGAAAAGTTCTGGGCTTGTCATTAGGTGGTGAGTGGGTGTGTGTGTGTGTGAATTATTTATCCCTCCAAGTAATGTGTGGGAAACATGTTAGAACATCTGGTGTGATCCGTAGTATAGTAATATAGATATAATTTATTTCAAGGTTTTACAACGAAATTGTAAGAGGGTCTTACGTGGTTACAGAAGAGCACAAAGCCCTTCTGAAGCTATAGAAAGCCTTAAATGTCTTCTGTGGCTTTTGGAGACCCCAAAGGTCTTCTGTGGTTGTAGAAGACCTTAAGAGTCTTCTGTGACTGTAAAAGAATTTGCAGGCCTCCTGTAGCTAATTAAGATCTAAAAGATCTTCTGAGGCTATAGAAGACTTCGAAGGTCTTCTGCGACCATATATGTCCTCAAAAGTCGTTCAGAAGTCATCAGCGGTCTTCTGTGGCTATAGAAAACTTCTAGAGTCTCCTGCGGCTATATAAATGCCTTCTGAGGGAAGACTTCAAAGGTCCTCTGAGGCTATAGAAAACCTCAACGGTCTTCTGTGGCTCTAAAAGACCTCGCAGGTCTCCTTAGACTATTAAAGACCTAAAAGATCTTCTGAGCCTATAGAAAACCTCGAAGATCTTCTGAGGCTACCTAAGACCTAGACGTTCTGCTGAGGATATAGAAAACCTTAAATGTGTTCTGAGTTTAAAGAAGGCTTCAAGGGTCTCCTGTGGCTATAGAAGAGCTTGAACGTCATCTGTGGCTATAAAAGAACTCGCAGGTCTCCTGAGGCTTTTGAAGACCTCGAAGATCTTCTGAGGCTATAGAAGACGTCAATCATGTTTTCTGTGACTATAGAAAACCTCAATGATCGTCTTCTGTGATTATAGAAGGCCTCGAGGGCCTTCTCAGGCTATAGAATACTTTTAGGGTCTCCTAAAGCTATAGAAGACCTCAAAGATTTTCTGTGTCTATAGAAAACTTCTAGGGCCTCCTGAGGCTATATAAGATTTCAAAGGTCTTCTGTGGCTATAGAAAACTTCTAGAATCCCCTGCGGCTATAAAAGACTTTAAAGGTTTTCTGTGTCTATAGAAAACTTCTAGGGCCTCCTGTGGCTATAGGAGATCTCAAAGGTCTTCTGTGGCTATAGGAAACTTTTCGGGTCTCAAAGGTGTTCTATAACTATGGAATAAACCTCAATGATCGTCTTCTGTGGTTACAGTAGGCATCGAAGGCCTTCTGAGGCTGAATAAGAACTCAAAGGTCTTCTGTGGCTATAGAAAACGTTTAGGGTCTCCTGAGGCTATAGAAGACTTCAAAGGTCTTATGAGACTATAGAAGTCATCGAAAGCTTTCTAAGGCTTAATAAGACATCAAAAGCCTTCTAGAAACTTCTAAGATCTCCTGAGGCTATTGAATACCTCAAAGATTTTCTGAGAATATAGAAAACCTAGAAGATCTTTCGTGGGTATAGAGAACTTAGAAGGTCTTCTATAAAAGAACTCGCAGTTCTCCTTAGGCTTTTAAAGACCTGGAAGGTCTTCTGTGACTAGAAGTCATCAATTATCGTCTTCTGTGATTATAGGAGGTCTCTAAGGCCTTCTGAAGCTAAATAAGACCTCAAATGTCTTCTGTGGCTATAGAAAACTTTTAGGGTCTCCTGAGGCTATAGAAGACCCGAAAGGTCTTCTGTGAATATAGAGGTCCTCGAAGGCTTTCTAAGGCTTAATATGACCTCAAAGGCTTTGTGTGGCTATAGAAAACTTCTAAGGTCTGCTGAGGCTATTGAATACCTCAAAGATTTTCTGAGAATATAGAAAACCCAGAAGATCTTCTGTGGGTATAGAGAACCTCGAAAGTCTTCTGTGCCTATTAGAGAACTCGCAGGTCTCCTGAGGCTATTGAAGATCTTCTGTGATTATAAAGGGCCTCGAAGGCTTTCTGAAGCTAACTAGGACCTCAGAGGCCTTCTGTGGCTATATACAACTTCTAGGGTTTCCTGAGGCTATAGAAGACCTCAAAGGTCTCCTATGACTATTGAATGAACCTTAAATCATCTTCGGTGAGTATTGTAGACCCTCTAAAGCTTAATGACCTCAAAGGCCTTTTGTGGCCACAGAAAACTTCAAGGATCTCCTGAGGCTATAGAAGACCTCAATGCCCTTCTGTGGCTACACATAGATAGGAGTTTTGAAGACCAATTCAGGCCTAAAATCGTGCGCACACCTTAGACTAGCCATCCACATATTATATAAAGATGTAAAAAAGCTGAATACCCTCCACCATTTGGAACGATTTTGGCAATTTTCAAAAAAATAAAATCCGTTAAAAATTCTTAAAAATACCGAATGTAGCCGTTATATTAGGGTCTATACGACGACGTGGACCTGCATAGGCTACTTTTGTCATAAGCCATTGCGATATTCCAATGCGAAACTTGAAAAAAAAAACCGGTTAATAATGTAGCACATACCGAATATAGGGAGGATCCATTATATGGGGGCTATATCAAAACGTCGACCTGCGCGGACAATTTTCTGTCTTAGGCTGTAGTATCCATTACGAACTTCAAGTACCAAATTTGAAACAATTCCGGTGAATAATGCCGTTATAATCATTAAAATACAGAATATCGGAAGGTTCCGTTGGAAGGGGAGGCTATACGAAGACGTGGACCTCCACGGATAATTTTCTGTCATAGGCTGTAGTATCCATTACGAACTTCAAGTATCAAATTTGAAACAATTCCGGTGAATAATGTCGCTTAAATCATCAAAATACCGAATATCGGGAGGTTCCGTTGGAAGTGGAGGCTATACGAAGTCGTGGACCTACACGTATAATTTTCTGTCATAGGCTGCAGTATCCATTACGAACTTCAAATATCAAATTTGAAACAATTCTGGTGAAAAATGTCGCTAAAATCATCAAAATACAGAATGTTTGGAGGTTCCCTTGAAAGAGGAGGCTATACGAAGACGTGGACCTCCACGTATAATTTTCTGTCATAGGCTGTAGTATCCATTTCGAACTTCAAATAACAAATTTGAAACAAATCCGGTGAATAATGTCGCTAAAATCATCAAAATATCGAATATCGGGAGGTACCGTTATATGTGGGCTATACCAATACGTGGACCAAATGGCCTATTTTCAATACCAAAAGTCCTAAAGACAAAATTTACATTTGAGTAACCTTTTTATCAACCTACTTCATTTCGTTCGGAAGCTAGAGTGATTTCCGCAGACGGACAGGCGGACGGACATCGCTAAATCGACATCGACTTTTATGCTGATCAAGAATAGATATACTTTGTGGGGCCTGAAATGTATATTTCGAGATGTGGTTCAAACGGAATGACAAACCTAATATACCCTCCATAGTATTGTGAAGGGTATAAAAATCCACGATTTTGGGTCTCAATTGGTCATCAAAATTCCGATCTATAGGTCTTCAAAAATTATTACAAAAATCCACGCTCCTAGGCCTTCTTATGTCACCTACAATATCATAAATGAAATCTACACTTCGGGTATATATCGGTCTTCTAAAATTATTTTTCAAATCCACCTTTTGCGGTCTTCTATAGGACGTCCAAAAAATTTTACAGATTCCCCTTTTTCTTGGGGGTTTTTTTGAAGGATTTTTCTTTGAAGGTTTTTATATATTTTTTTCGGATATTCAAAATAGTAGGTATTCAACAATTATTACAAAAATCCCCGCTCCTAGACCTCCATATGTCACCTACAATATCCTAAAAAAATCGACGCTTTCGGGCAGCTATCTCCTAAAATTATTTTTCAAATCCACCTTTTCGGTCTTCTCTAGGTCTACCAAAATATAGCAAAAATTCCCCTTTTTCTTGGGTTTTTGAGATTTTTATACCCTCCACCTTGGAAAGTAGGGTATATTAACTTTGTCATTCCGTTTGTAACATCCTTAAATATTCGTCTTAGACCCCATAAAGTATATATATATTCATAATCAGCATAAAATTTTAAGTCGATTTAACGATGTCCGTCTGTCTGTCTGTCTGTCCGTCTGTCTATCTGTCTGTCCGTCTGTCTGTACGTCTGTCTTTCTGTCCGTCTGTTGAAATCACGATACAGCCCACATTATTTGACGTAGAGCGCCAAAATTTAGCAGAGCAATTTGCATTGTGTCTAGGATGGTTGGTATTGAAAATGGGATATATCGGTCCACGTTCTGGTATAGTCCCCATATAACGGTACCTCCGGATATTCGGTATTTTGATGATTTATGCCACATTTTTTCGCGGATTTGTCTGGAAATTGGTATTTGTAGGTCATAACGGGTCCCTGAGCGTGTGGCAAAACATTGCAAGTATAGGTCCACGTTGTGGTATAGCCCCCATATAACGGTACCTCCCGATATTCGGTATTGTGATGGTTTTTGCCACATTTTTTCACTGATTTGTCTAAAAATTGGTATTTGTGGGTCATAATGGGTCCTAGTTCGTGTGGCGAAACATTGTAATTATAGGTCCACGTTTTGGTGTAGCCCCCATATAACGGTACCTCCCGATATTCGGCATTTTAATGGTTTTTGCCACATTTCTTCTAATGTTTCTTTTACCCTAAGGTGGAGGATATTAAAAGTTTGGCCCGGCCGAACTTATTGTTTTTTTTTACTTGTTTTAATTTTGTTTTCAAATATCAATAGCAACAATCTTGGCAGTACTTCTTTCCCTCATTTGCCTACAAAAACTTCAAAATCTGCGATAAAAATTACCAACAACAACAAAAAACTGCTAACACTGTATTTTAATATCTTTAACTAAAACAAAGCGCATTGCATCGCAACAATGACTTGGGTTTTTCATAA